AACCTCTTCTATAGAAGAGGTTCCACAAATCTACAGTGCTGTTTAGAACCACTTCCAGCTCCCTCCCCCTGCCCGTCCGCACATCATCAAGATGAAGAGCGGGAGGAGGCGTTCTCTACAAGAGATCCACAAATCTTAAAGCTGTCAAGTTACAAGACCCTTGCACCCCTAACCCTTTAGAAACGCTCCCAGGGGTGTTCAAACTTGACAGCTTTAAGATTTGTGGATCTCTTGTAGAGAACGCCTCCTCCCGCTCTTCATCTTGATGATGTGCGGACGGGCAGGGGGAGGGAGCTGGAACAGGTTCTAAACAGCACTGTAGATTTGTGGAACCTCTTCTATAGAAGAGGTTAGAACTGGCAGGAACCCACCCTGATGTATTGGCATCTGAAATTTAGATTGACTATCCTCTGAGATGAATAGAAGTAAACTGTTTATCATTCCTCAACTCTCCCAATAGAGAGCTTATTGTTGTCCATAAAAATCCAGGGATGGAGTGAAGCTGAAAAACCAGCACATTCTCCAGAAATATCTTTCGATATCACACTGATTAGGCTGATCCATGACTCATGCAAAACTTAGACCTCTTGAGTTCAGATTCAGAATGAATTTTCTGCTAAGAATTGGTTCATTGACCTAAAAACCGTAATACAAATAGAGGCAGTAAATATTAAATAATGTTGCTTAAAATTTCAGCCTTAAGCTATAAACAAAACTGCACGCTTACTGGAGAAAAGCCATTATCTTATGGGCCCCAGGTAAACACACGTGCGACAGTTACCATTAGCATCCTTTCTATATGGCTTCTCATATCATATTAAAAATTTCCAAGAACAATTAAAATGCCGTTTCTAACTAAACCCAACAACGGCTTAGTTTCCAATCTTTTAAAATTTATCTTTTGTAAACCTTTTGTAGACCCTTCAAAATTAGCATTTCAATGTATTTATTTATGATAATAAATGTTAGAGATGATTAATAATGGTAACAAAAAAAATACCTGCTAAGTTTTGTTTAGCTTGATCCATTATACTATGAAATCTATTTTACCACTAAGTTAAAGGTAAAGGTTCCCCTTGCACATATGTGCTAGTCGTTCCCAACTCTAGGGGGTGATGCTCATCTCCGTTTCAAAGCCGAAGAGCCAGCGCTGTCCAAAGACATCTCCATGGTCATGTGGCTGGCATGACTAAATGCCGAATGCACATGGAACACTGTTTGTTACCTTCCCACCAAAAGTGGTTCCTATTTTTCTACTTGCATTTTTGACGTGCTTTTGAACTGCTAGGTTGGCAGAAGCTGGGACAAGTAACAGGAACTCACTCCATTAGGCAGCACTAGGGATTTGAACTGCCAAACTGCCGACCTTTCTCCATGGTCATGTGGCTGGCATGACTAAATGCTGAAGGCGCACGGAATGCTGTTACCTTCCCACCAAAGGTGGTTCCTATTTTTCTACTTGCATTTTTGACGTGCTTTTGAGCTGGGACAAGTAACAGGAACTCACTCCATTAGGCAGCACTAGGGATTTGAACTGCCAAGCTGCCGACCTTTCTGATTGACAAGCCCAGCGTCTTAGCCACTGAGCCACCTTTTTACCACTAAGTTACTGGGGCTAAATGATAATTAAGACCAGTAGGTAACATTCTGGAGCCAAGGGATGCTCAGTTTTCGGTCATGGGATTGTGTCATTTTCTTTTTTTATGCACAGTTCTTTATTTATATGGAATTTTGTTTAAACCCAACGTAGCAACTTAAATTCTACCGCCCAACTTTCCACCAGCTTTGCAAACAGCAAGTAAGAAATCCATGCCTCACCTTCATTTTTCCAGCAATAGCAACAAACTGATCTTTTAAGATCTCAATCTGATTTCCCCCTCGTCGGTCCTCTATGGTTTTCCATTTCTTACATGCATAGGGATTGTTCCCCATTCCAGCTTGGCTGAGAAAAATCAAAGAAATTTCCTCTTACACTTGGGTGCTTTGCTAACAAAATTATCACAAAAAAGTATCACAATTGTTAATATCAGATGGCAATAGCAATAGCAATAGCAGTTAGACTTATATACCGCTTCATGGGGCTTTCAGCCCTCTCTAAGCG